TTTTACTTTTTAGTGGCTAAACCAGGGGGACTATTATTGTAAATTTTTGCTACCCTTTTTTTCCTTTTCTTTGTCTAATAAAATGCCCAGCAAAACTCTTGCTGCCCTTTCCAAAAAAAACTACACAACATCTAAATATTTTCCAAACAAAGAACACTTACATTTCACTTATGGAGCAACATCCATATTTGTCGGAGAAATAATAATCCATCATTTCCAAAGAATTATGTTATTTTCTTATTATGGACGTCTGACGTTAAAGTGCATCTGTCCATGATACCTTAAAGGCAAACTGAATTAGAGATTTAATTGAAAAACTAGGTGGTTCAACACAAAATAAATTCAAGATAACTTTATATCTAAAGATGTTCGTGTCTTCCTTTAGTGTGTCTCACTGCGCCAGAACTGCTAATCACCGTCGGGTTGAAACCCCAAATCACTGCCTGAATTGCTTCCGGCAGATAGTGAAAAATGGCCTATCACCGCCGGTTTGTCAACCTAGCAGTGATAACACGTTGTCACTACAAGGTCAAAGCATTAGCCGCCAGGATATCCATGAGTATTACTGTCGGGTTGACGTATGAACCGGTATTGATATCATGAGTTTCATTGCCAGGTTGGCACATGAGCCAATAATGATATGATGAGTTTCATTGTCAGGTTAGAACTTGACCCGGTAATGACATCTTGAGTCTCACTACCGGGTTAAAACTTGATTAAGCAATGACACTCATGATATCGCTATAAGATCAATGCCACACCTGGAAGTGAATTTGGTAAGTATCATTGCCGGCTCTATACCAGACCTTACAGTACTTAAGTATTATAATGATTCAGATATATATAATGGACCAGACAATTTATAATGCACCAAATATATATATCACTGCCATCAAGATTATGCTTCAAGTTACACAACACAAATGAAACCAATCGATCACTACCGGAAACATAAGGTAAGCCAGAGTGCAAGATGGTTTGCCGAGTGTAATCTATCGGACACTAGGCAAACAAGCTCTTTACCGAGTGCTGCAAAAAAAACACTCAGCAAAATAATTGCACTCGACAAACGAGGCAAAAAAGACTCAAAAAGTTCGACACTCGGCAAACTAGAAAAAAAAAACACTTGGCAAAACTAGCGACTCGGCAAAGAAATATGTTTGCCGAGTGTAATTATCTGACACTCGGCAAAAAAATATGTTTGTCGAGTGTAATTATTTAGTACTCGACAAATAATTTCTTTTTTTTCTCTCTTCTGACCTTGAAACTTTTTCTACTCTCCACATACAACATGTGGTATTTCATGTTAAAATTTGGTATATTTCTAGATCTATTTGCTATATTTAATTAATTTATTGCTTTTCTAGGAATTTTTTGGTATAAGTCAAATTTGAACTGCAAGTGATTCAAATAATAGAATAAAATGAGTAGAAAATGATATTCATGTTATTGAGTCCAGTGTGAGCCCTTACCCAAGAAATGAAAAGAAATTTTGAACATCTTGTTCAGAAAACACGACCACGAACTTGTGGCCGATTGGTTTTTAAATTCTAAAAAAGCAAAAGAAGTCTGAAAATCATGAGATTTGTCATGATGTGATGATATCATACATGGAGGCTTCGTTTTGGAAAAGTAGGGGTAAAAATACAAAGTGAAAGAAAGTGGGGATAAAATCACAATTAGGGTTTGAAATAGGGGCAAAAACACAATATTCGGAAGGACAAACTTGTCATCTTTCAACTTTTTTAACACCGTTACCTGTTGTTCACGGAGTAAGGGTAAACTGAACATTCGTTTTGGAAAAGTAGGGATAAAAATATAAAGTGGAAGAAAATGGGGGGTAAAATCACAATTGGGGTTCAAAATAGGTGCAAGAACACAATAGCCCCATTTTTTTACCATCAAACCTGAAATTCGTCCCAACTCAGGACCTGAGGGTGCCGTTGGAGCCATCGAACCAGTTAGGCTAGATGACCTTTTGCTTCACCTCCTAAATCTAGTCTCATTTAGTCACTTTTTACCCAAATACTTTGACTAAATAAGACTAAATGGGCTTTCACTCAAATGTTGCAAAATAGGACTAAACATCACCTTTAGTCTCATTTTTAGTCATTTTTTACCCAAATACTTTGACTAAATAAGACTAAATGGGCTTTAACCAAGTCACTCAAATGTTGTAAAATAGGACTAAACCTCACCTTTAGTCAGGCTGCCTCACCTTTTAATCACTTTGGAGCCAAACAACCTAACTAAAAGGGACTAAAAAGTTTCTTTTTAGTCTCTTTTAGCCCACCAAACCAAATAAGAGGTGACCAAAGTTTAGGAGCTGATTTAGACGACTAAACTTTAGGAGGTGCAAACCAAACACGCCTTTAGTCCAACATGGAAACAAACAGCCAGCAAAATAAAAGTACTTCGCAACCACTAACTACGCGTTTGGTTCCGCAAAATGTAACGCAATCTGATTACTTCCGTGATTAGATGAAGATACAACCGCTTGGTTCGGCATGGCCCGTTATAAGATACCGCGTAATCATATAACCATCTATTTATTTGTGATACCGACCATCATGTTATTGGGGTGCAAAAAAACACGCCTGCAGCATGCCAAACAGTATCAAAATAAAAGTGCAGCCCAGCAACGGGTGAAGGCCAAAATGTAACGCAATCTGATTACTTCGGATCCAGATGAAGATACAACCGCTTGGTTCGGCATGGCCCGTTATAAGATACCGCGTAATCATATAACCATCTGTTTATTTGTGATACCGACCATCATGTTATTGGAAAAAAAAATTTGGGTGCAGCTTGCCTGTATCGAAGCCTCCGTGCAGCCCAGCACGGGTGAAGGCCACGTGTCCCAGGAGTTCATCAGACGGCAAGCCATGGTGCAGCTCCTCTGCTGCTGCTCTCCCATAACACATCGGCTCAGGCTTGCAGTTAGAGCCACAGAAGGACCACTTTCCGGCTGCCGTAGGATGTCTTTGGGTAGACATGCGTCAACAGATGACGGGGGTCTGCATGCTCGGTGGACTGGCCTCCGTCTCCCCCGCTCGAAGACTGGACTCGACACCTCCCTCTAGCTACATATACTCCAGTATTCATTGCCTTTACCACGTTCAACCAAACAAAATCAGGGAATCACTGGTCCCCGCAATTCCCTCCTGTCATCTGTTTCCATTTCTGTTCACGTTACCGGCCAAGAAACCAAACGCCATCTAAGCATTATTTGGATCTCATTATTATACAGTGGTTATAAGTGGTGTGATATAAAATTTAGGTTCCAGGTTAAAAAAATGATAGGTGGTTAGATCTTGTTCTAATATTAACTAGCAAATATGATCCTTCGTTGCAACATGACCAAACGAAGGATGAAAGCTAAAGTATTGAGAAAATTGTCTGTGTGACATGAGACCTCGGATCTCATGAGGACAAGGAATCAATAAGTGAAGAGGAGAAAAAAATCTGGACAAGATATATCACCACCTACCTATGGTATATCACCATCGACGACGGGACTGGTACATGTGTCCTTTAACTAGAAATCGTCATTGCCTCATGTATACCACCTTTTTAGATGTGCCAAGGTAAAGCATGTCCCGTCCAAGCATACGACGCATTCTTTCTTTCATTTGATCTGGCTCGAGAGTGAAAACAAATCGAGGTAATCATTTTATGATAACAAAGATGATGGCTCTCTATGTGAATGTCTCCCTTTGGTACTCGTCCCGACATCCTGCATCTGGACCTCATGTTCCTAAAGCTTCTTCATGTCTTCCAGTAGTGGCTCCAAGAACACATCTATCTCATGGTCAAATTGCGCCTAAAACAAACCTTGATTTCCTCAAAGGGAAATCCATAGATTATAAATACAATGTGATAGTCCCAGAAAGATCATGCTATCATATTCAAATTGTCCAATTGATATCATAGTCTGATACATAACAAATACCTGTTTAGGGTTACAAAACATGGTGTTTACCCATTATTACATTGCCACACTAGCGGAAATCACATGCACACACAGAACATCGTCAAAGCGAAATGTAGCACATTACTAGGGTAGAAGACTCCATTCTCCACAAGCAACTTTAGCATAGAACGAAACCAGCCAGTCCTCTCAAACCATCTTTCTCGTAGTTGTAGTCAGGCTCCTCACTTGTATCAACGAATTTTAGTATGGGTTGTACTAGCCAACGTACCCACCCTATGACTGATTTGTTATATGGTATGTCGAATGCAACACTAAGAAGAGGATTCTATTATGTGGTTGTGGGTTTAACCTTAGCACAACTCAACATCAAAATCTTCTCTAAACAACATCCCATCCATCTCATCATGCCCACGTCACGCCTCCAAGAATCACATCTCACCCACCACGGTCTCTAGGTAACAAGGAGAACTCACACTCGTCCTTGCCTTAGTGGCCTCTGCCTGGATCCTTAACCAACCCGGAGAAGAAAAGAATATTTCTCTATCTAGTCGAGTGAAGCAAATACAGAGGAAATGTCCATAACCGTGGACACAACGATACGTATAGATCATATCAACTATGCAAAATGTGTACACCAGTACCCACAAGATCACCATGATCAGTGGTGCCTTGCCTAGACTGATTCCAGGCTACCACCTAACTGACACGATACCACCCTACTCTCAACCCTGAGTCACCTTAGAGTACCACCGACACGGTAAGACTGTGAAACGTAATGCCTGGCCATGAGGGCACTAGTCTGGGGTCCCGACGTTGGAACAACTCACTTGCAATGACAATACGAAGCTGACTCCAAGAAATATATAACAATATATATATAGAGTCTGATTATAAAACATGCATATTAGAACAAATGACACCATCGTCGTTAAATAAATTATCAAATTGCCAACCGGTGAGGCGGTGACCGCATTAGAAGATACATGTTTTGTTGCAATGCATGGACACTTTTGCTAGTTGTATAAGGTAGAACGGAAGCAGTAGCTATGGAGATGCATCACCTGTACTAGATGGTGCCACCGTTGCAGCGCAGGACCTGGGCGTTGACCCAGTGGCCAGCATCACTAGCGAGGAAGCTGACGAGCGGCGCGATGTCCTCGGGCATGCCGAGTCGGCCCAGCGGCGCCTCGGCGATGTACCGCTCCATGTCATCCTCCGTCTTACCCGTGTACATCATGGGTGTCCCCGTCGACCCTGGCGCCACCACGTTGGCCGTGATCCCCGTGCCGCGCAGCTCGCGCGCCAGGATCTTGGTCATCACCTCCACCGCCGCCTTGCTCGCCGCGTATGCCGAGTAGCCAGGGCGCAGCGACCCAACTCCCGACGAAGAGAACGTCACGATCCGGCCGCGGCCGTCACGGACCAACCGCCTGGCCGCCTCGCGGCAGCACAGGAAGGTGCCGCGCGTGTTGGTGCCGAACGCGGCGTCGAACGTCGCCTCGCTGGTCTCCGCCAGCGGCGGGTAGGAGTAGTCCAGCACCGCCGCCAGCGTTACCAGGATGTGGAGCTCCCCGCCGAAGGCTGCGGCCGCCGCGTCGAACAGCGCCTTGACCTGTGCCGCGTACGACACGTCCGCCTCGACCGCGATGGCCCGCGGCTGCTGGCTCTCGCCGGGGTGGCTGGAGTCGTTGATGCCGCTCACCAGCGTCAGAGCAGGCACCGGGTCGCCGATGTACGCCACCACGACGCGCGCACCGAGCGACGCCAGGTGCCTCGACACGGCCGAGCCGATGCCGCCGGCACCACCGGTGACAATGGCTACGCGGCCGTGGAGCATCATCGGTGCCGTCGCATCGACACCGCCTTTCGACTTGGATTCAGCCATGGGATAGAGTATATTACATCTACGCGTGTCTGTGAACCGTTTGCCTGGTGCAATTCAAGCTGGAGAGCCACACTTAAACTGCCTAGATTCAGATCGCCGACACACGCCCTGCCAATGCACAGTTAGCTGCACTGTACGATGCATGTGATTTGAATGGCCATCTTCGCTTCGCTGAAAAAATAAGTTGAAATACTATTCTGGCTGATTTGTTGTGAGAGTAAAACACTATTCCAATTAAAAAAATAAGCTGAAAAGTACGGATTATAAGAAAAACGAACGGGCCCGATTTCAAATGCAACAATATTTCCAGTTGGTAATACATCACATCGGTGAATGACGATAAAATCGGGCCTATATCACCTTATCAGTCATGATACAGTGTTTTTCTCTCACAATAAAACAGCATCAGCCGGTTTATAAGTCACAGATACGATCAAGCGAACAGGGTGCTAAATGATAGTGACACATCATTCTACAGGAAACTGGATAAGTCGGGCAATAATTCCACTTCTAGGTCGATCTACGGAACAGTGACTTTTAGTGGTGTGATGTACATCATACACTTCAGAATGAAATATATTTGGCACTTAAAAATTCCGCTGAAGATCTAGATTTTTCTGTTGATATTATGGGCATGTTAAAGTTCAGACAACCGAGTGGTTGAAAAATAAAAAATATATATAAAGCTTCAAGAGACGGTAAACTGTGTGTAGTGATGGAAACTAGGTACCGCCTCTTCTTTAGGTGCCCGATGGCCCAAGTAATTTGGTGTTGGATGACAGATAACTTGGGTTGGATTGTTCCTTCGACTTCCCTAAATAGCTTGGTAGAAGAGGTGCTTGAGGAAGAGGGCTCAAAAACAATGGATGGAAAGTTTACATCACTACGGGAACCAACATGTTTTTCTACCCTACACTAGCATACAACTGTCAATTATTGTTGGAATTGGGTTTGGCAAAGGGGAATCGGCATTGATCTGCCTAAGTGAAACAATGATATCACTGTCCGCTCAAGTTTAGATCCAACAGTATATCACTGTCCCAGCCTGTTCGGAAGGCCGTATCGTATCGTGGATTATTTACTGCTGGCTGGTTTGGTGTGAGAGAAAAACACTGTTCCTGGCTGGAAATTTACGATCGTTTACGAGCAAGCGAACAGCCGGTTCAAGCTAGCATGGACCTAACGCAATAATATAAGCATCAATGCAGGTTCTACCGTCCACGATATTGTGGGGATCACTGCTGGGTCAACCTTCTAGTTGACAGTGATATTGTGTGGTTCACTGCTGATTCAGTGGCTCCTCAACCGTAAAAAACCTTTAGTTTCCCTTTTTAATATATATTTTATCATTTCTTATTATCAAATAGAGGTCGTTGTCTAATGTTTTACATTCGATGCCACCGATTCATCACATTTCTCACAAGATTCGATATATGAATACATCGTAATTAGAAAACCATATATATATATATATATATATATATATATATATATATATATATATATATATATATATATATATATATATATATATATATATATATATATATATATAACTACTATCTTGTAGCTGACTACAAAATAACTTATTTTGTAGCCACTTTGAGTTACGATAATTACTATATTAATTTACGAGATTATATTAACTCCTTAATAAGTGGTTTACTATAACGTTATGGTAAATATCCCATACTCCCTCCATATTGCAATTAGAAGTCGTTTAGGATAGAATTACGCTTACCAAGGTGTGCCAGGGAGTGATTAATTAGAGGATATTTTTCCATGTTTGCCCTTATTAAATAGGTCCGTGGTTCCATTCTTTATAAAAGCGATGCGTGTAGCCCGAGTGGCTTGTCCTGCGCGGCCCGATGCAGGAGATCGCCGGTTCGAGTCCTCGCACCCACAATAATATTTTTGTTGCATGTAGTGTATTTTTGCATGGCACTGTGCATTTTGCATGCATGGCTCGTTCGCGCGCGCTGGTCGCATGCTGGGCTTGTCCTTGCGCCCGCGTGCACGCATGCTAGCTCGCTGCTTGCGCTCGCGTTTAGGTGTTGCCGCGTGAATTTTTTCCGATGTCGCGTTTAGGCTTTTTGCTCACTCGTTTGCGCGCGTTTGCTCGAATTTTCGTTTGTTTGGCGCTCCGCTCAGTACCTCCGATGGTTCGCCTTGCCTGCGGTATTAAAACGCCATGCCTGCAGTACTACTGCCTTGCCTGTTCTTCACTTGCTTGTTCATCTAGCCATGGCTTAGCCTCTTCTCTTTCTTCCTACTCCTTCCACTGCATAGCAAACCGTACGGCGCAATGGCACGTGTACTCCATGGCTTCGATCTGAACGTTCGTATGGAGGAAGATGGCGACGGCAATCTCCCCTTCAATCTCAACGAACCTATACTGGTGGACCACAACAACAATGGTAACGTGCGGATTCTTACTCATTTTTTCTTTCCTGTTTTGATATTCACAGTATCCGTGTACAAAATCTTGCTGGTAACTTTTTTTTTGTCACAATCACATTCATTTTAGTTTGTATTTTTATCCTACAGCTAGAACGCCATGTCTAGGTACTCCATGGAAGTGTTTGTTTTTTCCCTATAATTAGAACATGCAGTGAATAAGTATTCCATGAATGTGTTTGTTTTTTCCTATAATTAGAAACATGCCGTGAATAAGTATTGCATGAATGAGTATAAATAGAACATGCCGTGCTTCTTTTTTGCATATGAAGCTAGAACATGCCGTGACTAATTATAACTATGCACGTGATTCTTTTTTCTTGTAACAGAACATGTTGTCCAGAACCCCAACGTGGAAGAACAAGTTCATGGAGTACCCCACCGAAGTAAAGAAATGACAGAAGATCTCCGAAAACGAGTTTATCAAACTTTGTTGGGTAGAAGCAACAATGGTATACTACACAAGAAAGATAATGCATATGTTGCAGCTCAATTTGACCTTCACATTCAGACAGTTCAGCGTGTTTGGAACCGAGGTAAAACACAACTTAGAAACTCTATTTCGGTTGTGGTTGATAGTCTAAAGAAGGGTAGAATTGGCCGTAAAGCAATCCCCGTTGACTTAGAAGCATTGAGAAACATTCCTCTAAAGGAAAGAATGACTATAGAGGATGTGTGCGCCAAACTAAACTTGAGCAAATGAAGGATTCAAAGGTATTTGAAAAAGGACCTGATTAGGCACCACTCTAGTAGCATCAAACATATCTCACTCAAGCTAACAAGAGGTCTAGGTTATAGTGGTGTGTTGACATGGTTAATAGGGAATTGCTTGATTATCCAAGGTTCAAGGAGTTGTTTGACTTTGTGTTCATTGATGAGAAATGGTTTTACCTATCTCAAAAATCTGAAAATTATTATTTGCTACCCGAAGAAGATGATCCCCATCGGACTTGTAAGAATAAGAACTATATCCCTAGGCTTATGCTCATGTTCTTGTGTGTTTGCGCTCGCCCAAGGTTTAGGGATGGGAATTGTATTTTTGATGGTAGGATTGGTTGTTTTTCACTTGTTCGTTATGAACCGGCTCAAAGAGGTAATGAGAGAACCGGTCGTATCCGTGGAGACTTGGTTATGAAGCCCATTACTTCGATCACTAGATAAGTGATTAGAGATTTTATGATCAACCAAGTGTTGCCTGCCATTCGAGCTAAGTGGCCAAGATAAGATGTGGGCAAACCCATCTTCATTCAACGGGACAATGCACCTTCCCACTTGAAATTGGATGATCCGGATTTTTGTGAGGCCGCTAAGCGAGGAGGATTCAATATTCGCCTAATATGTCAACCACCAAACTCTCCGGATTTCAATATTCTTGACTTGGGTTTTTTTTGAGCTATACAAGCAATTCAATATAAGAAGAATGCAAAAACAATAGAGGCTCTAGTTCCAGCCGTGCAAGAGGTAATTTGCTCAAATTGTTCACACATGTTTCAATGTTTTCTTCCACAACAAATTTGCTCATTCATTCATTTCTTGTACACTTGTTTTGTAGGCATCATGGAGTACTCGACACGCAAAGCAAACCGAATATTTCTAACACTACAAGGTGTTTTGATGGAAGCTATGAAGAAGAAAGGTTGCAACAACTTCAAGATACCTCACATGAAAAAACAAACATTGGAAAGACAAGATCGGCTGCGACCTCCATCTTGGAATCCGGCGAGATGGAGTCCAGCACCAACTCCATCTCCGACTCCGGCGAGAGCTCCAGCTTCGCCGACGTGATGACCTTCGCTGCCTCCTACGACTCCGACGTGATGGAGTCCGGCACCATCGTCTCCATCTCCGAGGACAGCGAGGCATCCATCGACGCGGCGTGTGGCGTGCACGAACGGCGTGCGGCGTGCGGCTTGAGGTGGAAATGGTGTGCGGTGGCGGCAGCCGCGCTTGTTCTTAGCGGCGCTTGTTCTTAAAGGGCCGTCGCATGTGGTGCCCATTAACACGGTGTTAGAAACGAAGAGATGGATTAACTTGCGCGGCGCGCTGGAGCCGAGACGAGAGGGGCAGCATCGTCCAAAGTCAACGTCGAGAGCCGAAACGACTTCTATTGCTTCGGATCGGTCCTTTCCCAGAACGACTCCTAATACCGATATGGAGGGAGTATGTTATAGTAACCCAACTATCGTAAATATGTATTGACATTATCGTAAATTAGTATATAAAATTATCGTAAATAGAGGTGGCTGCAGAATAACTTATTTTGTAGTTGGCTACTGAATATACTCTCTCTCTCTATATATATATATGTATGTATATATGTATGTATGTATGTATGTAGAAATGGGGCATCCTGTGCGTGTACATGCTAGTCCGCTTGCTCTACTCGGTGCCTTTGCCGCTGTGTCACCACTGTGTCATCCTGCTCAGCAGGTCACGGGACATAATTCTTCGGTCCGCTCCATTATTACCTTGCCGGTGACTTGTACAGACAGCTACAATTGCTGGTCTTAAATGGTGGTCCGTCCTTGGTTGGTGGCGGCAGT